CTAGTGAACCATAAGTGCAATCCCAAGTGTCCTTATAAAGAGGAGGCTGGGGGATATTTGACACGGAAGAATCAGGCAGTGCAGTGACTGAAGCCAGATGCCGCACTGCTGACTGAACATGGAGGGCAAAGCCACGAGCCAACGGTACAAGGAATGAAGCTCTAGAAGCTGGAAAAAGCCAGGAAATGGGTTATTCCTGAGAGCTTCTGGGGGGCCACCTCAATTTCATTCCAGTGAAACTGATTTCAGACTTCTGATTCCTAGAACTGAAGGGCGTAAATGCCTATTTTTCCGATCTACTCAGTGTGTGATAACTTGTTAGAGTAGTAACAGGAAGCTAATAGAAGTAATCACTGTGTCTTTTTGTGAACTGTTATTGAAGTCAGGTTAACCATCCTGTTGCTAAGAAATGTTTATAAGTCATTCGTATGTCTACACCTGCTCTGAACTCTTGAAGAGATTTCTTTTTTTTTTTTTTTTTTTTTGAGGCAGAATGTGGGAGGCTGAGGTGGGAGGATTGTTTGAACTCAGGAGTTGAAGAGCACCCTGGGCAACACACGGGGACCCCCATCTCTACAAAAAAATAAATTAAAATTAGCCAGGTACTGTGGTGCAGGCCTGTCATCCTAGATCAGGCGTCCCCAAACTTTTTACACAGGGGGCCAGTTCACTGTCCCTCAGACTGTTGGAGGGCCGCCACATACCGTGCTCCTCTCACTGACCACCAATGAAAGAGGTGCCCCTTCCTGAAGTGCGGCGGGGGGGCCGGATAAATGGCCTCAGGGGGCCGCATGCGGCCCACGGGCCATAGTTTGGGGACGCCTGTCCTAGATACTCAGGAAGCTGAGGGGTGAGGATAACTTGAGCCTGGGAGATGAAGGATGCAGTGAGCTGTGACTGTGCCACTGCACTCCAGCCTGGGCAACAGAGCAAGATCAGAACCACAACTCTGGGTTCTCGAGCAGTGCTGGGTGGTCTGTCATGAGCCCTTTATGCCCACCCACCCACAGAGGCCACCTGGAACTGAAGGGCACTAACATTTGTGGCTGCATGAGGGGACATCACCCACTCAGTGCTCCACTCACTACGCCCTCCAGTCAGTGGACATTTAGGTCTGTCATCACTGGGATATTCACTTAACTGCTGATCCCTTTCCTTGCCTGGCTTGGTCACTGGCATAGAAACAGAGTAATTACTGGGGTGGGTCAGGCCCTTTTTAATTATCTACCAGAAGATTAGAAACTGAATTCCAAAACTGAAGATAATTCAACCTTTCAGCTTTGTGGTTATGTTCTAAGTACAATATATTTTGTTAGTAAGATTTTGATACTTGATTCCAAAACAACCTAGCCTATTGTTTTCCTCATTTAATGAAAACCAAAAGAATAGTTCAGCAGGCATTTGCAGCGAAAGTGCTACCCTTTTCCAGCGCCCCTGACTCCCTATCACTCAGACCACAGTAAAAATCCAGATGGGGCTGCAACTCCGTCCTCAATATCTACAGCCATAACGGCCTTATTTCACTTTAACAAAAGGAATAAAAGCTGATCATGGTCCTGGCAGGGATATAATTTTTTATCCTCCGAGAGTCTCTGTTCCTGTGATAGAAAATGGCTGACTCTGCCCTATCTCCGAGGAGCAAATGTGCACATTAGAAAACCACCAGCATAGCTGCCTTCTCTCTGGGAGGCCACCACAGAGAAAACCAAGTTTGGATTGGCAACAAATGGAAAAATACCTCCTATTTTGGATGTACACATGTAGCCATCCGGGTATGAAATGGAGATGAAAACAGGGGAGGCGTGGAGGAAGCAGCAAAAGGGTGGGGGCAAAACGTGTGAGAAGAAGGACCTCTGTCTGTGACTGTGATGCTCTGTGTATATACATGCCACCATGTGGAGGTGCCTCTGTGCACGTGGGGGGTTTAGATCTGTAATGAGAGTATAGGAGAATCAATACATAGTACTAAGTACAACACTAAATATGTTCTCTGTATAGTCAACAAGGGCACTGCTTCTCAAATTTGGCAGTACCCTGAAATCATCTGGGGAGCTTCAAACACTACTGATGCTTGGACCCCACCCCTGGAGGTTGTGATTTACTTGGTATAAATTACTGCAGTAGGCCGGTGCGGTGGCTCACGCCTGTAATCCCAGCACTTTGAGATGCAGAGGCAGGTGGATCACCTGAGGTCAGGAGTTTGAAACCAGCCTGGCCAACAGGGTGAAACCTCATCTCTACTAAAAATACAAAATTAGCCAGGCATGGTGGCGCATACCTGTAACCCCAGCTACTCGGGAGGCTGAGGCAGAACTGCTTCAACTCAGGAGGTGGAGGTTGTGGTGAGCCAAGACGGCGCCACTGCACTCCAGCCTGGACAATAAGAGCAAAACTCCGAAAAAAAAATTGCCGTGGTAGACAGAACAATGACCAGATCACAGTCCCTGGGAGTCTGTGAATATGCTAGGTTAAATGGCAAAGGAGCCATTAAGCTTGTAGGTGGAATTCAGGTTGCTTATCAGCTGACCTTAAAATGGGGAGGTGATTCTGGATTATCTGGGTGGACCCAATGACATCACAAGGGTCCCTCAAAGTAGAAGAGGGAGGAGCCACAAGAGATAGAGGTGATGCCATATGAGGACTCAACCTACTGCTGCTGTCTTTGAAGACGGAGGAAGGGGTCATGGGCCAAGGAATGTGGCTAGGCCTCTCAAAGCAGGAATACCAAAGATATGAATTCTTCTCTAGAGTTTCCAGAAGGAACACCCACCCTCTCACCCTGCCCATGCCTTAGTCTTAACCCAGTGTGACTCACGTCAAACTTCTGGCCCACAGAACTGTAAGACATTGAGAGAGAGAGAGAGAGAGAGAGAGAGAGAGAGAGAGAGAGTGTGTGTGTGTGTGTGTGTGTGTGTGTGTTCTGAGACAAGAGTCTAGCTCTGTCGCTCAGGCCCAATCTTAGCTCACTGCAATGTCCACCTCCCAGGTTCAAGTGATTCTGCTGCCTCAGCCTCCCGAGTAGTTGGAACTACAGGCACCTGCCACCATGCCCAGCTAGAGGTGGGGTTTCACCATATTGGCCAGGCTGGTCTTGAACCCCTGACCTGAAATGATCCACCCACCTCGGCCTCCCAAAGTGCTAGAATTACAGGTGTGAGCCACTGCACCCAGCCTTGTGTTGTTTTAAGCCACTAAGTTGGTGGCAATTTGTTACAACAGCAATAGAAAACAAACACTTGATTTCAACCTGAGGAAGCTAATTTTAAAAATCAAATTTAAAAAAAAATGAAAATAACAAAAAAGAAAACTAACGCGGATATGGCATGGGCTCTGAGAGTTTCAAAAGCACCATGTGATTCTAATATATAGCAAAGTATGATAACCACTAAAGCAGAGGGAAGACAAGATAAAGACATGTAGGTGCAATTGCCTTATGCTGAACAAAGAAACGGTGATTTCAGAAATGGTGGTTTCATCTGGGAAGTTAGTAAGTCATCCAACCAAATTATGCACCATCACTTGTTCTTTTATTTATTTATTTTTTATTTTTGCAATGGAGTCTCAATCTGTTGCCCAGGCTGGAATGCAGTGGTGCAATCTTGGCTCACTGCAACCTCCGCCTCCTGGGTTCAAATGATTCTCCTGCTTCAGCCTCCCTAGTAACTGGGACTACAGGCACGTGCCACCACACCCAGCTAATTTTTTGTATTTTTAGTAGAGGTGGAGTTTCGTCACGTTGACCAGCCTGGTCTCAAACTCCTGACCTTGTGATCTGCCCGCCTCAGCCTCCTAAAAGGCTGGCACGAGTCACCACGCTCGGCCAATAACTTTTCTTGAAAGCCATTCCATCATGGTACTGTTACTAAAAGCTAAGACCTTAGAATCTTTTACATTTTCTTTTTATCTTTCTACTTTGTCTTCTTTAGAAAGGAAGCTTCTTTAGCAGCACAAAGAGTCACATTAGAATCAGAAGACCTGAACTGGAATTTAGCTCTGTCACTCATAAATGATGTGGCCTCAGGGGGTCCTGCAGCCACTACTCTGAGTTTTGCCTCTTGCACACAAGGAGGGAGCCACCTTAGTGACGCTGTGAGGAGATTAAATGAAATGACATAGATGACAGGGCTTAGGACATAGAGGGGGCTTTCCATAAATGCCAGCTTCACTGCCACTGAATGACTCCACCCTGTCAGGCATCACCTCTACTCTGCAGCTGCTCCCATCTCTTCTCTTCAGCTCTGCCCTCTCCCCGAGCTCTGGTACCATGTCTCCTACTGTCAACTGGACAATTCCACTCAGATCTCTCAGTGACGTCTCTAACTAGACACGTGCAAACTGAACTTACCATCTCACTCCCAAACCAGTGCCTCCGCTCCATTTCCCTTACTTTGCCCTTAGCAGTAAAATCACTGGCAATCCTGTGCTCCCAAATTTCTGCCCCAATCCCTCTCCTATAACCCATCCAGGCCCTCCTCAAGCACAAAAACCTTGCAGATGCCTCCACATCTTAAACTCTCTCCCATCCATCCTGCTTGTAGTTGGCAAATTCTTTTTCCAAGTAGACTTGTCACGTTAAACTCTGAACAAAGATCTTCAAACACTTTTTTGCCCTGAAGCCTGGTACATAAGGATCGAGGAACAGCAAACTCCACCGGGTGTGGAGATGACACAAGACTTACACAGCCTCAGTGTAGAAAGTGCTGAGCAATTTCATATCACTGCCACAGAGAAGAAGAGCTCTTGGGATTAATGGATCATACAACACAGTATTGTTCAAAGTAGCTACTGAGAACTGAAAATTCTTTAACGAAATTTCTTTGCATAGTATTTAATAACTACAATCGAAATCTGCCACAACCCCCTTCCAATGAGTTAAACTGTAACAATCATTGACATTAAACTACTTTATGTGTTGTATAACATTGAATCATTCGACAAATGCTCAAGCCTTTAGTATTTATGACGATGGCAAATCTAGTCAATACCAGAGTTATTCTTACCATTTTGTTCATCTAATTCATTCCCAATTTCCTGCCCCATTTGCTTTTGGCGACTTATGATAGAGGAAAGGGCATCAAGGCCTGCATCCTGTTCTGAAAGAAAAAAGAAAAACAATTAACTAGAAACCAGAAGAAAACAACTTGAAGTCCACAAGCATACCCCAGGCATGTAACAGAACTTAATAAAAGACAAAAGCAACATTTTAAATCAGTCAGGAAAAAAGAGATAAAATAGTTAACATTATTGGAACAAAATTTAAAAATTAAACACCTACCTCACACCTTAAACTAAAATGATTTCCAAAAGAATTAAGATTTTTAAATATGAAAAACAAAATAAGATTTGGAAACAAAAACATTTAAACTTTCTGATACTTAATATATAAACAGCATGTACAAATCAATATGAAAAAGGCTGAATATCCCATTTTTTAAAATCTGCAAAGGATACAGGAAAGAACTTCACAATAAAAAATAAATTAATAAAGTTTTGACATTGCTACTAATTTTTTAAAAATACAAGTAAAAAACTACTTTTTTTGGCTTATCAGATTTATAAGGATTAAAAAGAATGACAATATCTAAGGTTAGTTAAATTGTGAAGATCTAGAAGCTCCCACGTACTATGCAATAGAAGAATAAGTTTTACTGATGGCGATATTTCTCAAGTGCAGACTGTGCCCAACTTCCTACCTGCCAATCCTAAGTCTAGGAATGTATGTAAGAAAACACTCAGAATGCATGCAATGATGGATGTATAAGGATATTCCCTGAAACATTTTTTTGTGTGTGTGCCAGGTATCAATTTAGTGCCTCTCAGCTCTAAATTCACTCTTTTTGGCTGCTCTATGAAAATGAACCAGCTGGGCACAGTGGCTCATGCCTGTAATCCCAGCCACTTGGGAAAGCAAGGTGGAGGTTCACTTGAAGCCAGGTGTTCAAAACCATCCTGGGTAAAAAAGCAAGACCTCACCTCTAGAAAATTTTCTTAAAAAATTAGCCAGGCACGATGGCATGCACCTGTAGTGCCAGCTACTTGGGAGGCTGAAGTGAGAGGATCAGTTGATCATCCAGGAGGTCGAGGCTGCAGTGAGCCATGATCACGCCACTGCACCCCAGCCTGGGTAATATAGAGAGACTGTCTCTAAATAAAAAATTAAAATCATTTTTTAAAAAATTGTTAAAAAAAATAAATAAAACAGCTAGGTACAATGGTTCATGCCTATAATCTCAGCACTTTGGGAAGCTGAGGCGGGTAGATCACGAGGTCAAGAGATTAAGACCAGCCTGGCTAACACGGTGAAACCCCATCTTTACTAAAAATACAAAAAATTAGCCAAGCATGGCAGCACATACCTGTATTCTCAGCTACTCAGGAGGCTGAGGCAGAAGAATCGCATTAACCCAGAAGGTGGAGGTTGCAGTGAGCCGAGATCGCGCCACTGCACTCCAGCCTGGGCGAGAGAGCGAGACTCCATCTCAAAAAAAAAAAAAAAAAAAAAAGAAAAGAAAGAAAAAGAAAAGAAAGAAAGAAAATGAACCAAGGCCCCTTGAATATTTTTTCCTTTGCCAGGGTTTTTGCTTACTGGCTCCAGCCTGCTCTCTTGGCAGGATCCTTTAGCACATGCAGTTCCTTCAGCGCCTGGCCCTTCAGGGCACAGTGACCAGCAGCTTCTCCCAACACACCCGCTCCTTGGGCAGGTTTAGAACAAGAGTGCTGCCCGGGAGGTTTTTCCCCATGAACAGTTTCCCCCAGCATTCCAGAGGGCAGATCTCCAGGAGGTTTTGACCACAGGGGCTTCTCGGAAATTCAGGGAATCTCAGCTGAGCCCTCTCTCAGCCCTGGAGACAGGGGACTCCTCCCTAGACATTCTCTCTCAGCCTGAGACTTAAGAGATTGCACCTTAGTGGCATGATCTTGGCTCACTGCAACCTCTGCCTCCCGAGTTCAAGTGCTTCCCCTGCCTCAGCCTCTCGAGTACCTGGGACTACAGGTAATGCACCACCACGCCTGGCAAATTTTTTGTATTTTAGTAGAGACAGGGTTTCACCAAGTCAGCAAGGATGATCTCAATCTCCTGACCTTGTGATCTGCCCACCTTAGCCTCCCAAAGTGCTGGGATTACAGGTATGAGCCACTGCACCCAGCCTTATTTCTTTTTACATCTTGTCAGCTAATCCCTCGTTAATCTAATCCCTGTTATAGTTAATAATTTATATTCAACTTTCCCTGTCAAATTTCTGTCTCCTGATGGGACCCAGAGTGATATATTTGTAATAGTGAAAAATTAGAAAGTACCTAAATGCCCAAATACAGAGATTTGTTTAAAAATTTATAGTATATCCATACAGTAAAACACTATATAGCCACTGACAATCATATTGTTTGTGTATGTTTAATGTTGAAAGAAGTTCACGATATGTTCTTAAGTTAAAAAGCCAGAGGCTGGGTGCAGTGGCTCACGCCTGTAATCCCTGCACTTTGGGACGATGAAGCGGGCAGATCACTTGAGCCCAGGAGTTCGAGACCAGACTGGGCAACATGGCGAAACCCTGTCTCTACTAAAAAAACAAAAATTATCTGGGTGTGGTTGTGCACGCCTGTAGTCCCAGCTACTCAGAGGTGGATGGATCACTTGAGCCTGGAAGGCAGAGGTTACGGTGAGCCAAGATGGCGCCACTGCACTCCATCCCGGTTAACAGCACAGAGTGAGATCCTGTCTCAAAAAAAAAAAAAAGGCAGGATACAAAACAAAGTATAGTAAAACAGTTTTTGGTTTAAAAATGAAAATGTATTACTTTGAAACTTTTTGCAAATTTCAAGAGCAAAGTGAGTTTTTGAAAATTTAAAGAAAAACGTAAGTTAAACTCAAGTTACTCAAGATCCTTTCTTTAAAATTCAATATGTATTTTTTTAAACGAGACTGTCTCAGTCATCTGTAAAAACTTCTTCCTCTACTTTTGGTGCTTTGAGAACACTGTGAAGTTGAGTGAAATGACTCTTGTTCACCACACGACATACCACACGAAGGTAACGTTATACCCCAAGCAGCTTCATTTGCCTACAGGGTTTTTGAAATGACTGTTTCACATAAAGGCATATCTACAAAAGCAGAGATCACAAAGGTCTTACTTGAGGTCGCATTAACATTTACTTATATTTTTTCCAAGTCTTTTAATGGAATTAAACCATTAAACTTAGCTCTTTAATTCATCTGGAATTTATTTAAACTAATAGTCTGAAGTAAGAACCCCTTTGTGACATTGTTTGACACTCTGTACTTTTTTTAAACTATAAAAATGACCTGTAGTCTTTAGGGATCATTCGAAAGGACCATTTTATAGTAAAATCACTTTATAATGAGGTCCTCTTGGTCTTCAATAACAACCTCTTGGATGGCCTCCAAGATAAATTCATACTCAACCAAGTACTCCTATAGGATGACTGATGTTATAGTAAAATTCTAAATGCATCTGATGAATAATCTATACATATAGGTCTGAGGGTCAAGTGTCAATGTGGATTAAAAGATAAAACCATTTAAAAAGAGGAAAGGAGATTCCTCCACAGTTTCCATTAGGAAAAGAGTCAGTAAACTCTTAAAATTACTTTATCTAATAGAGACAGAGATTATGAATGAAAAACACACTAATTACACTCTTTATTCCCAAACTTGACTCATTATCTGATTTAGCAACCTGAAGATCATCTAACGCACAAGAGAAATAGAGCTAAGAGTTCTGCTCCACTTTAATAATTTTTGTAATCTTAGCAATTATCTCCACATCTTTAAGTGCTGCAATAAATTTTCATTTTGCAATCCAAAGACAAGGAAGATTCAGATAATCAAGATGCTGTGGAGGTAATAATGATCACATTCATATAACCTGGGCTTCCCCAAGTCCTGAAGTCCTGAGGCATTTCTTTTATTTATTTATTTATTTTTGTTTTTTGAGACAGTTTCACTCTTGTCACCCAGGCTGGACTGTAATGGTATGATCTCAGCTCATTGCAGCCAACACTTCCTGGGTTCAAGCAATTCTCCTGCCTCAGCCTCCCGAGTAGCTGGAACTACAGGCGTGTGCCACCACACCCAGCTAATTTTTGTATTTTTAGTAGAGACAAGGTTTTACCATGTTGACCAGGATGGTCTTGATTTCTTGACCTCATGATCTGCCCACCTGAGCCTCCCAAAGTGCTGGGATTACAGGTGTGAGTCACCATGCCCAGCTAATTTTTGTATTTTTAGTAGACACGAGGTTTTGCCATGTTGGCCAGGCCTGTCTCAAACTCCTGACCTCAGGTGATCCACCCGCCTGGGCCTCCAAAAGTGTTTGGATTACAGATGTGAGCCACCACACCCAGCCAACATGTAGTTTCTTACCAAGGAAACTACCATCATGTCATAACTGGTAAAATCTCTCCTACTTTTTCCCATAACCCAAGTCATTATGATATCACAAGAGGGCAACTGTAACATACCACACGCTATTAGTCGTTCTTCTGTTTTACGATGATTTGAATTTTGAAAAATGGATGGATCATTATTGTAGGTAGAATAATATCCCCCATGTCTAAGATATCTATATCCTAATCCCAGAAACCTATGAATATGATTCCCTTACATGTCCTTGAAAAACAGCTCACTAGCAAAGAGGAATATGGTATTTCAAAACACAAAGGCAAGAGCAGTGGAGCAAAACATGTGTGCTGCTACTCCTGCCAAAGCCCACCCATGCCCCACAGGCCAGCAGGCTTTCCAAGGGTAAAGCTCTGTTCTGAAGATTATAACAAACGCTTTGAGGAGCATCCTCTCGCACTGACCCACAGCAACCTCTGAAAGGAGCACCTTCTCCAGGACAAGGAGACTTTTCCCGACTGAAAACAGCTTTTCTTGTCAAAACACAACAATACCAGAAAATGCATTAGCTGTAAGTGTTAGCTATAAGGCACTCCATTTAGGAGCTGTGAATCCTGAAGAGTGAATGGCTGTGCTGCACGTAAAGCTGTGTTGCTTTTCATTTTCTCACTTTCCTTCAAATATGGTAACGGGTGAAGGACATAAAACTGAAGATGTAAGAGGGCCACAGTG